GAGAATACCAATGTCGAAATCATCTGTGCTCTCGCGATATCGAACCCACAAGATGAGAAGGGCGGTCCCACTATCTTCACAGCGGGGGACAACGAGACGTGGATAAAAAGACAGGACGGAAGATACTCAGTCCCTTTCCTTCGCTGCAGCCCACCCTGAAGACATCACCGGCTTTGTCTCTCCATTACCCATGCTTCTTCTTCAACCACGTTACTTAATTAAACTACCCATTTGAACCTCTTTAGAGACTCCATTAGTCTCGTTATTTAAAGCTCCTCTCCTGGGCGCGAGAACATCGAATACTCTAATAATACAATTAATTTCGTGACTATAACACGAAATGGCGTGAGACTGGGTTGAGATACGAGCATGGTTTTATATACTATCATGTTTAATCGTGTTTTATGCCGTTTGCCAAGACTTGATAAGTCGCTCGTAAAACACAGGAGGTATGGAAACTAAGAACACCATATGTGGTAAATTGTACAGCTAATATAACACAACACATTAGTTGTATTTCCTTTAACTGGTGGATTATGGATATTTAGTTGCTGATCGAAAGCTGGAACACAAACCACCAAATACAAAAAAAATGATTCAGATCCAGTCGTCATGACTCCACTCCGGAGGGATTCCCCGATCATTTCTTAGAGTTTCTCATCAAGGGGGTGTCTCCTGTCCCCGGTACAAAACACACTGCCTGAGGAAGGTTATGTGTATTTTCTTTGTCATTAACCTTTTTCGGACCACTTATTTATTTATTTTGGTGACGATCCGACCTCCATGCTGCTACTCTGGTTCAAACTGCATCCACCAAACAATATGGTTTATCTCGACCTCCCCAAAATAACCTAAATCTGGCACGGTGTGAGATGTCTTTTTTAGCTGTTCTGGCCTCATTTCCTGCGATCTTCTTCATGCAGTCAGTCAAAATGAATGAATGAATGGGCGTTTCTTTGACTATTTATAGGCAAATATGGGCGTTACGTGAAGCCCGCAAAAGCTGCGCCGCATTTTGAGTCGATTGTGATTTATAAAGGGAAACAGGCGTAGGAAGTGCCATACGCACTTCCCTCGCCGGTACGCAATGTTTTGTGAATCGGAAAATGTTGGAACATTTCTGTACCTATTTTTTTGCTTTGTACTACGTAAGCAACCTACCCACGTGCAACCTACCCACGTGCAACCTTCCCACGTGAATCCTACGCAAGGCGTTATAAATGAGGCCCCTGACCACAGTTTGTTACATTGTTTCATTTTTCAGAAGGTTCGGGTTGCGGTCGAATAGTCCAAAAATCAGCTCCTAAATTCTAACCCTATCGTCTATTCCTTGACCTCTGAGTGAAACGTCACGGGGTTAAGGGATAGTGGATAGGAGAATTCAAAAGGATTTAGGAGAAGAGACTGCGGTACTTTAGAGAATCCGACTGCACTTTCACTATCCAACGTGTTTATGATGCGCCAGCGGACGTCATAAATGTGCGTCTGCTGCTGTGGGGAAACTATGGAAACTACAGTTTTCTATACAGCGGACTACAACATGGATGTTTAATAAGAACGAGGGGACTACTGTAAACTCATCTAGAGACTCTGCACCGCGCTCTGATGCTGTTGTTTTATGGCTTTATGAACGGGGACAACAGAGAAACATATTCTTCATGACCAAAGTTGGAATTGAAAATAAAAAAGGAAAGTGAAACTTATGCTCGTCACCCTCTCCCTCCGGTCCACATTAATACGAATGATCCCAATACGTATGATTGTATGAAAGATCTTAAAATCAATACAAATGTATTTATTATAAACGTTAGTCCTTAACAGCTATCACTGTGTATATCAACCATTCAAACATCTTTTACAAGTTGAACAACCCCACACAGCTCAGTAAAGACTGTGAAATGTTGACTTTATTTGATCATTTCAGTAAAAACTAACGTTCATATTTCTCTTTTGATTATAATACTGATGAACGTTCAAACAAAAGCACTTTGGCAACTTACCACATACGTTTTAAAATGCTTAATAAGCACCGTAACTTTCATGATATCATTTCTCGGTCATAATCGGTTGTTTTCCCATGAACGGCCGACTGTTGTGTGACGGCAAATGCCGCTGCCGCAAGGCATTGTGGGGCAGCATTTTCTCCTCTCCTTTCGGTGAGGGAGGTCCAGTGGTATCCTAAGCTAAGAGATGTTATAAAGGAAGTGTGAAACCTCCTTTCCTTTTAATTTAGAGAATTCGAACGGCACTTATCATGGCTGCCACTGAGGGACTTCCGGGTCATTTCACTCCGTTAGGAAGGTTCCTAAGCTAAATGGACTATTCGACCGCAACCTCGGTTTGCGTTCACACGGGCAAAACTCAAACGGACTATAAACTTTTACACACAAGTCATGTGCACGGAAATGCTGTTCAACCATTGGTCAGACATTAAGGGGTGTAAAAAACGCAAATCCCGGCAATTTCTACCGGAGCCTCCGCCATGGAGCATCGGCACTTTGGCAGGTTATCTCATGCTGCTGTTATCTGGAGATCAACAGACACTAGCGCCCGCGCATATGATTATATGAATCAACAACGTCCGTTAAAAAACATTATAACACATATAATGAGAGACGTTCTGCAGAAGGAGGGGCGTTTCACCGACGACAGGTGTTCTTAATTGTATGTAGTTGACGGAGCATTTTCACTTTACACAACACTGTTCAACACTTAATTCTGCTTCACTCTTTAACTAAACAACCGCGGATGTCTTGAAAGACTCTTTCGCTAAAAAAAAATTAAGACATCCGCGTTCTTGTGACACGTAAATACCACGCTTCCTATGTTTTGGTGCGGACTGCGTTCACACCAGCAATGAACTAGAGATGGCAAATCCGGATCCTTTTACGGACTCAGGGTCTTCTGAGTCAGTCATTGAAGAGATCCGGATCATACGAGTCATTTGAGTCATATGAGTCAGCATCACCAAGACCGTAGAAATCCTATCAGTGAAACCGAAAAGTTGTTGCATTTCACGAGTATATTAACCTCCGCTACACAGTGTATTTTGCTTTAATAAAAAATGTTGATCACAAAAAAAAGGGTTATTTTGCGATTTGGCAAATCTGAGTCTGCTGTTGAATCGTGCATGAGGACGAGTCTGCTGGATCTCTGGATCTGCTGCTATATGGCTACGGCTCTGAGTCTGCACGAGTCTGCTCTGCTGTGTTTTGCACAGTGAGTCAGGATTTGCGAATCCGAGTCTGCTGTTGACTCGTGTTACTATTAAGACACACATTTTGCCCAGGTAAAGTGTGATGGGCATGTACGTTATGTTATTTTGTATATTTTTTAAATCCTCTGGAGCAGAGAGGAGCTGTGGATTATTGTTATTGATTAATGCATCAGTGTTTCTTAGGGTCAAAAACACTAAACTCACAACTTAAAATGAAAGCGTTTAGTTTATTTAATAAAAGAGCACATGTTCAATGTGAAAAGTGACAGTAGATATAGATTAGTTGCAATTTGGTGCTGTATATATATTTTAATAATTAATCAAAAAAATAAAAAGATTATAATTTTTATTTTATTTTGAAACACCTTGAATTTCAGGGGGGGGCGCGGGGGCTCCGTTGGCGGGGCTCCGTTGGCGGGGCGCAGCGCCCCTCCAAGATAATGGTAAGGGAAACACTGTTATTATATAGTAACTCTTGGGTTTCCAATGTTGAAATTGGATCAGGGACACTTACTTCACAGGCTTTGGACTTAGAATGTACAGTTTATAAAAAGGTTTTTTAATATAACCACTGAGTTGAATGCATAAAAGGGTTAGATAATAATTGGGTTCACAGCTCACACAACGTTCAGAGCGCAATTGTCCCGTTGCAGTTAGAGAAAGATCGAGGGTCAATTACATTTTTCTGGGCTGGAAAACAAATATAAAATCGAATTATTCTCCCCTGTTGTGACAGGGACATCGACTAAATGGAAGTAATGAAATGCTTCTTATTTGGGGGGCACAAAACATAGATTTGGTCCCTAAATTAAACCGTTTTAGGCTCTGTAAGAATAGCTATTGTAGAGAAAGAAAAACACATGAATACAATAGTTGCATTACATTTCATTTAGCTGACGCTTTTATCCAAAGCCACTTACAATGACCAATTACAGGGACATTCTCCCTGGAGTAACTAAGGGCTAAGTGCCTTACTCAAGGACACACTAATGGTGATGTTCCAGGCGGGATTTGAACTCACAACCTTCCGATCTTCAGCCCACCTCACTCCAAATGATGCCCTGGTCACGCCATAATCCCAGAGCAGTTCCTCTCCAACCTTAATGCTCTGCAGGGCGAGGAACACTAACACCTCTCTGGGGCCATCTGGGAAGGTCAGGGAAAACCTTTTCGCCTTCAGGTTGGGCCGCTTCCTGGAGTGATTCCAGGAAGCTTATGTTCAATGAGCTTTAGGCGACAGGGTGGCGTTGGTTGATAAGTTTCGCCCCTTGGTGCGGGTTCGAAACCAGCCTCTGGCAGTGTGAATTTAAATGTTTTAAATTATAGTGGATGTGTCAGATATTATTATATTATTATGGTCAGGGTGGACCTCATTGATAACTCATTGAGTTATCAATACCTGAATGTGAACCTGAATTCTGTGTTTATATTTAATAATTACAAAAGAAATAAAGCTATAATAACTAACCTAAATGTAGAGACTAACATCTTAATTCAACTAATTCAATTATTGTCTGAGAGGAGATTCTTACAGCAGAACTCTAAAGAAATTACCAGAAAACTACTTTGAAAAATGTAAAACTTTTATTTTACAAAAATGATTGAACATTTAACTATATCAAAAATGATTTACAACATTTAACTATCTAAAAAAAACTGTAAAATACACATAAAAACAGAACTACTTTGCGCTAGTCGTTTAGAGCATTAGAGCTTTCTCCTCGTTGCACCCTTCCGACTTCTCCGGACTCTGATGCGATTCGAGAGTTTGTGGGGACTCTGCTTAAGGGGCGACAACAGGACCCTGCATCTTTTCTGTTGGCACACAAAATAAAAAAACATTTTTAATGAACTTGTCACGTTGGGATTCATACATTGTGCTATTTTAACAGTTTTTAATCTCAAAGAAAATCTAAATCTTTAATGCTATAATTTACTATATTTTTTTGAATTGTGACATTTTGACTACCTTAGCCCGGCTCCTGGTCACACTTGGGGTGCTCTTCTTGTCGCTGGTGGTCGTTGCGATCTCCGTTGTCGCCTCTCCCTCCGGTGTCGCCTCTCCCTCCGGTGTCGCCTCCTGGCTCTCCTCATCTTCCGCTGTCTCCTCTCCGTCCGTCTCCTCTCCGTCCTTCTCGCTCTCCTGTAGGATAATAAGACAAAACGGTTATCTATCTATACACTGAAATACAAATTAGTAACTATCCATGACTCTTGTCTTTTAATTACCTCAGACTGAGGTGGGGGTCTCTCATGGTGCTTCTTCTTCCTCTTCTTCTTGGTCCCGGTCACACTCTCCTCTCCGTCCTTCTCGCTCTCCTGTAGGATAATAAGACAAAACGGTTAGCTATCTATACACTGAACTACACATTAGTAACTATACAGGACTCTTGTCTTTTAATTACCTCAGACTGAGGTGGGGGGCTCTCATGGTGCTTCTTCTTCCTCTTCTTCTTGGTCCCGGTCACACTATCCTCTCCGTCCTTCTCGCTCTCCTGTAGGATAATAAGACAAAACGGTTATCTATCTATACACTGAACTACAAATTAGTAACTATACAGGACTCTTGTCTTTTAATTACCTCAGACTGAGGTGGGGGGCTCTCATGCTTCTTCTTCCCACTCTCAACTTCCTCCTTCTGGGCCTCTTCAAAAAGCAGACGACCTTTCCTCGCCTGCGCTATTGTCAGGTCCATCGTATAGAACTTGTCGGACGTAGCTGTGTCATGGCACATTAAGCGTGCCATGCTTTTACGCTCCTGTGAGTCTTCACCGTGTCTGTCTCTGGCCTGAAGCAGACAAAAGAGCAGAATGCAAAGTTTAGGTGAGGTAAAAGTGAGCACAGTAGATCAGTTACAGTATTACATTAGTGTAATTTCACTTACAAAGGTTGCAATGGCGCTCCTCAAACTGGTGAATGTCGGTATCCCCCGTAACTGCATCTCCAACCAGGCGCGCTGAAGGTATTTGGTTAGGTTCCTGTCCTGGCTGAAGGTCGTGTTAAAAAAGACGTACTTGGACATTGGTTTCCCTTTTGCCAACTTGGTTTTGAGCTGGATGAGGTCGATGAGCCAGCCGTATTCCTTGTCGGTGAGCAGCAACTTGGCTGTGCCAAAGCTCTCGTTGGTCTTATGCTCCTCCACCTATTCCGAATCAGAATCACAATTAACTTAACACATACAAGGAATGTGCCTTGAATATACTTTGAAAAAAATAGGAGGAATCAAGTGTTTACTTTGATCAGGTAGTCATCCTTCTCGGGTCCGTGCACTGCCTGGCTGACCTGCACGTCGGTCATGTTCAGGAACACTCCAAGGCGGTGACCATAGAGTGAGGCTAGGTAGGCAGTGACGTACCCGAAAAGGTTACCCTGCGCCATAGATGTGTGCTGCTTTTCCAGTCGAGCTGCAATGACAAGGGAAATCAAATAAATGGATGAAAGAATACTTATTTGAATTGCCCTGTTAATTATAACATATGTATTATAACTTACAGAAGAGTTTCGGGATGGCCACCAGTGCCAATCGGCGGCACTCGTGGAGCTCTTTAATGGTGTGCATGATGGCATCCTTTTGTCCTTTCACCCTCATTTGGTGCAGGACCACAGGGCGCTTCCAGGCCATGATTGAGACAGTGATCTCCCTCTTGATCAACTTCAGTTGCGTCTTGCCGAGGCGCGAGGTACTAGGTGGGGTCTCTTCCATAAAAACTATAAACTGTCGAACGTTTTTGAGATAGTGCAATGTCGTTGACAGAGTCATTTTATTGTTCCTCAGAGACTTCACCCATCTACAAAACAAAGACATAAGCACAAAGATGATCATTAACCCTCCTGTTATATTCTTTTTGTATGTAACAGCAATAATATTGTACTGTGTAGTTTGTACCTTTTATTACCATCAATTAAATCAATATTTAGTGTCAATTGTGATATTGACCTCCCCGTTAGTATATGTTGGTAGTGCGTGAGGCCATATGTACAGATATGTACATGGGACATGAAAACAGTGCATCTCATATTGACAAAAATAAACCTCGCTAACCGAGTTTTCCAAATCACTCTAAAAATAAGCCGTTGATACACGTGTAGACAACATCTGCAGAATCATAAATGATCATTACATTGGGGTCATTAAACCATTATTTCGCTAAGATAAAAACATTCAAGTTTTGGATTTTAGTGTAATTCACAAATGTTCCACCAGATGGTACCACACACACCCAGGGGGATAAGATGATATATTAACCCAGTAATAAGTGAGCTAAAAACAGCAGAATCACTGCTGTTAGCAGGGTCTCAGAGACCCATATACCCAGAGACCCAGGGTACAGCACCTCACTGTCTTACCCAGAAAACAGGGCTCTGATCAGGGCTAAAGTAATGTTATAAACTGGTGAATCTGTTTAAATGCAGGCAGCAGGGTCTCAGAGAGGCACAATAAGCTTACTCTGTGTGTCTGTCTGTCTCACACATGGGACAACAATTGAGCTGAAAATAATTGAGTCACGTACCCCCGAATATTGGGCAGATCGGCCATGAATGTCAGGTGCCCCAGGTTTTTCTTGCCATGGCTCATCCATCCAATGAATTGCCGGATCCTGTGCAACTTGGACTGAACATTATTGATGAGCTTGGGGGATGGGTCGGGTCCCTCATACAGCCGCTTAAAGTCTTCCAATAAGACGTCTGGAAAAAAGATAGGGAAACAATATGTTACTAGACGACTAACACAAAAAATCATCTCATATAAGGATCATGGCATTTATTC